ATAGATAGATAGATAGATAGATAGATAGATAGATAGATAGATAGATAGATAGATAAATGGATGGATGGATGTGTGAATGGATGAATGGATGAATGAATCTGTGGAAGGATGGATTTGATGGGTGGATGAATGGAAGGATGGATGAATGAATGGATGTCTGGCTGGATGTCTGGCTGGATGGATGGATGGATGGATGGATGGATCAACAATACTTCTAACAACGTTATAACTGTCCTTTTAATTAACTTCAACGCCAAGATTCAAGGCAACACCAACTGCAGCGGTTCTAATGGGTTTTCCACCTACTCACTTTAAAAGAGAAATTCAATTTAACAGTAACTACTTCCAGTTTATATTGCAGCTTTTGATGCGTCTTCGGGCAAGAAGGGGAAAAGAAATGTCCCTGGAAATCTGTCCCTCTGCCTTGTACTTTTTCCGGTTAGTTTCACTCGTTTCACGGGTATTCGAATTCGGCATCATTCTTGCTATAAAGACTCCTTCTCATAACCTTCACAATCTTTTAGCCCCCCGACCTCTGCCGCAGGCTCATCATGATGCCTGCTGGAGAGCGTGAGGAATAGAGAGTGAGTGAGAGAGAGAGAGAGAGAGAGAGAGAGAGAGAGAGAGAGAGAGAGAACGACAGGGGAGAAAGGGACGGGTTTACTTGCATACACATAAGCATATTATTACACTGACAGAATCCTACATTCATACACAGACTAACATATGCACAAACGTGAAAAGATGAAGCAGGGTAACACACAGTGAAATTTAACACACGGCTAAATTCAACCACAAAGAGGCTTTCCATTTGTGGAAAGAACAAAAGTAAGTTCCTTACAAATCGAGCAAATGAATCCCTTAAATGGGATTTACATCCTCTTTAGAATTGAAAACAATCATTGTACAAACACACCACTATAATATTACTGTGGATTATCATTTGCGACCCATAATACAGTGTATACATGCATTCTTGAAATAAAAAAGGAACGACTATGTTTTTTTTCTACAGGAAGTAATGAGACCATTCGTTATATTGTTTTCGTTTCTCTGTGTCGATTTTATAATGCCGCCGAGGTCTTACAGAAAAAGAAACAATGTTCGCTAATGGAAAAATTGATTAACTACTATTATTATTATTATTATTATTATTATTATTATTATTATTATTATTATTACTGTGGGCTGAGCTTGTAGTTTACTGGATTCGTTTCAATGAGAACTTCGGAGCAATTCCACTTCCACTACTAAAATAACCTGTGTGTTTGTTTGTTTAGCTCTGAATACCTTCTCTGTAATCGGGTCCATTTATTATAATATGTTTTCCTATATCGGATTTCGTAGGCGGGAGTGGAACGGTAGTAGGCAATCCGACATAGTAGTGTAGTAATGTCGTTTTAGAGACTTTCGTCCTGGATGATGATTGTTTTGGTGATGGGGGTTTTTTTTTGTATGGTTTGTGACTAAAGGAGAGTAGACAAACAGGAATAAAGACATCAGGCATGCAAACTTAGGCTAATTCAAAACATGTCAGGGAAAGGGGGGAGAGGGTTGTTCAAAGTGGTCGGTGAGATAGAATAGAAAGGGAGGACAGAGGGTGCGGGGAGATAGTGCTCTAGGGTGTTTTTTTTAAGGTGTTTTTATTTTCTGCTTTAATGTACGTGTTTTTCTTGTGCCAACATCGATACGATTTAGACCATTTAGGAGGCGGGGAATAGACCCTGCAGGGCCAACCAGGACTCACAGGAAAATGAAGTCCCAGCAGAAAGACTGAAATACATGTATGAGATTTTTTTAAATATCTCAACACAAGACTCGAACTCTGGTCTCCTATCTTGCGTGCGACAGCGAAGCTCTTAACTACAACTCCACAGGCGCTGCTAGCTAAAGTGTTTTAACGCTTTGAAATATCATTTTGTCTAAGAGCTATGGGGATGTTGCTGGCAACACTCGGGCGGCATGTGTCTCGTGGGAAACGCATGTGGTGAAAGGGCATTCGTGAAGAATGGGAGGCTTTCACGAGCAACAGCAACAAGTGAGTCTCTCTCTTCTTATTTCACTTTTTTTTTAAATTCTGCTTCATTCTGAGAATGCTCCTGTACCTTTATAACGGCACTTGCTTAAAAACTCTCTATTCCTCTCTCTGTCTCTGTCTCTGTCTCTGTCTGTCTGTTTATCTCTCTCTCTCTGTCTCTGTCTCTGTCTCTCTCTCGTGTCTCTCTGTCTCTCTCTCTCTCTCTGTCTCTCTCTCTCATATATATA